CATATGATATTTGTCTTTCTCTGCCTGACTTACTTCTTAGTGTTGAGTTTTAAGAGTTCTTTGTATATTTTGGATAAAAGCTCTTTGTCAGATCCGTCTTTTGCAAATATTTGCTCCCAGTCTGTGGCTTGTCTTCTCATTAGCTTGACATTGTCTTTTGCAGAACAGTGTTTAATATTGATGAATTTTGGGCAGCAATGATCATTTTTTATAATCTTCCATAGGTCAGGTTCCCTGGGAAACGGTCTCAGATGCAGATCCTTACGTGCAGGTTTGCTGGGGAGTATTCTGAGGACCAGCATCTGTGAGAGGTGAGACACAGGGCTGGGTAGAAGTGGAATTGCGATGCAGTTGCAGCGAAGTCTCGGTCAGTCCCATGGGGAGCTCTGGAGCTGGGTGAGCCCTTCAGAGGTGCCCCCAATCAAATATGGAGCTATGCCTTTGTACCCCAACATCAACCAGTCAGTGGATACAGGTTGCCCCTGGGAATGGGGTGTAACCTTGGATGAAACAGCTCACTGTGGCCCAGGGAAATTCCCAGGGAGGGACATAGCTGGGAGTGTCAGCAGCCAACACCCCAGCAAGTGATGACCTGGTTGCCTCGGTCCTAACTGGAGATCTGACAGCCTACTAAGTCTTCACCATATAATCTGAAAAAAATAAACTTGAAAATAAAGAAAAGAATGTGGGATTTGGACATAAAAGATATCGAGATCCACCAGTGACTTACTATATGATCTTGGGCACATCTTTTCTCTGGGCCCAAGTTTCCCCATCTGTATACTGAGAAAGTGTTATTAGATGAACTCCTTGGGACACTCATAAGTTGCAATCACTAGGAAAGCAGGTGCCCTGCGAGCTGACCACAGCAATGGGAGAAGATGGGCTGAGATGAGGCTGAAAGATTAAGAGGAGAACCTATTGTCTCAGGGATTTCATTGAATTAGATGAGGTGGCCCATGCTTCTGGGGCTTTCCCTCTAAGGTGCTTCTATGAATCATTAGTAAAAGAGCAGAACAAAGTGGAAACTTAAAGGTCAACTGGACTATCTCTTTATTACACAAAGGAGTCAAGGAATGTGCCCCATGTCACCGACTGAGTCAGCAGCAGAATTGGGAATCAAGCCTTGTTCCTAAAACCTGGCCAAGTGGTTTCTCAACACCTACATTGCCTGTTCCTTGAAAGACTAAGTCAAGGCCTGCTTTGGTTTGAAGAGATACCCCCTCAAGCTAACCTCCATGAAAGAAGAGCTATTTGAAAAGAGTCTGCATGAAAGCAAATTTCTCCCACAGTCTTCTTAAAAAAGGGAGAAACCAAGGGACTAGGAAGAAGTGAATTGAACACAGAAATCTGTCATTCAGAGTAGGACACGTTCAAAATGTACTCGGAGTATTGGAAGGGGAGATGCTGTTTTAAAACAGCAAGCAGAACTAGTGGGTTATATGCAACAAGACTGGATTCTTCCATATAGACCTTGGGAGGCTTTCAGAGAAAAATTAGTCTTGTGGTCCAAATATTTGATTTTAGAGAAGCTAGTTGAAGGTAAGCTCTAGTCAGAGTGGAGGACTACTGGGGGACTTCACTATTCACAAGAACTTTTCAGTTCTTCCCGTTGTTAGTGCCGTGACTCAGTTCCCTCCCTGTGCCTAGAATGGCTGAGTTAGGGGTTCCTATACCTTCCAGTTTCCAGAGACCAAAGCCTCCAACTTCTCTAGGAGATGCCTAAGATGTGGGTGCAGACCTGGGAGTCTGACTGCTCTTTGTACAGCTATTAAAACTGCACCCATCTTGAAACAACCTTCTTCTCCTTCCCTTTCTTAACTTGTGAGACTTTTAAACATTCTGCAGGGCTTCTCATAAATATCTCCTGCTGCAAACCGTTCGCTTTCACGTTTCTCCAATTTGAAAATTTGATTTCCAGTTCTATGTTGTAGCCAGTGGGTATGAATGATTTCTAGTTTCATACAAGATGGCTTTTGAGTTTCTGTTTCTTGCTCTCCATGTTGTTGGCTGTGGCTTTTGGAAGGAAAATTAGAGAAAGATTTGTTTTACCCTAACATTTGATACAAATGTACCTAAAGTGAGGGCAGCCTGTATTTGTTTTGTTTTTAAGTATTAAATCTTGAAGATAAATCATCAGCTTCCATGGTCAACACTACCAGTCCCATTTTCAATTTCTCTTCTATGGAGGAAGACACATTTGGTGTGTCTTCTCTGGTATGTACCCATAAACAGCTTGCCATTTTATGTGTGATTTTTCAATAAATATGAAGACTTCATATTACATATTTATATCACCAATCTGATTTTTCCAACAAACTTTTCTATGATATGTCTCCATGTTGATTCATGTAAATTAATTTTTTATAGCATATGAAACATACCAAGGTATGAAAATTTAACCATTTCACAAATGAGGGCCATTTTGATTGGTTTCAATTTGTGACTCTTTGGAACAATCTTACAATAAACCTCCTACCACATTATTAGGTTCCCACTGGCAAATATCTTGCCCCTTCTTTGTATCTGGAAAGAAAATTGCTAAACGATGGCTTATGTGAATTTTCAGTTTTATTAGGCATAACCAAATCACTCTTCTAAGCGGCGTACCAATTTACACGTCCATCAGCAAACTATGAGAGTCTCTGAGTGTTTTTATTGTAGACTTCAAATTCCTGCCATTCTGAGGGGTGAAAAATGGTGTCTGGTTGCTTTAAGTGGCTTTTTCCTTATACCTAGTGAGTGGAAGCTCTTTATGTGTCTGTATGGACCATCTGCTATAATATCTTATTTGATTGCTCATCTATTCATAGTTCATTTTTTTCTAGGAATTTGGTTGTTTTTCTTATTCATTTATAGAAATTCTTCACATATTTTTCATTCTATTTCTTTGTTATAATCATTTCAAATATTTACTTCTTTTTTGTTTGCTTGTTTAACTTTCACTTATTCTTTCTTTTTTCTTAAAAAATGATTGAAGTATGTCAGTTTACAATTTTGTGTCAGTTTCTGGTGCACAGCATAATAGTTCAGCCATACATATACATACGTGTATTTGTTTTCATGTTCTTTTTTCATTCTAGGTACAAGATATTGAATATCGTTGCAAATATAAACTTGTTTATCAAATATTTACTTCTAGGCTATTATTTACCTTTGGACTCTTTGTGTTTGTCAACTTTGATATTGATGTAGTAAAATTTGTTGTTTTCTTAACTCTCTGTGCCGTGCTTACCCTGAGGTAAGTCTAGCATTTATTGAGCACCTCTTATGTGACAATCACTGGGCTATTCCTTTCACATGCTGTCACCTCTAACCCTCATAACTTCATGAAATTAGCACTGCTATTATCATTTTTATGTTAGAGATGACAAAACTGAGGCTCAGTGGGACAAAGTCATTGCCCCAAATCTCAGAGCCAGTCACCAACAAGTACAGGATGTAAACCCATATCTGCTTGGTTCCAGAACACTCTCTTTGTTCTATTCTAGAGGTCTGGGGAGAAACCCCACACAGGCAGATAGTTTATTCTTTATCTCACCCCTCATATCCTAGACCAGATCCAGTGAGTCAAAAAAGATGGAAATGCAGAGAAACTCTTGTACATTTATTTATTCACTAATCAACAGACATTTCCTGTTGTGTGCCAAGCCTCACGGTGGATGCTGGGAGTACAGAGATCAAACAGGACAAAACTTGGCCCCCAAGGAGGTATTGGTCACAAAGCCACATCTTCATTCAGCTGTTCACATTTTTTTCCAAGCTTAGGGGAAAATGGAATCCTAGATCACACAGACCAGGAAGTCCTGCTCTCACTGAACTGGTAAGAATAAATCTGTGGAAAGAAAAGAGGGCAGAACCTCAGCAGAGGAACAACTGCAGTGACCCTTACATCCTTCCCACCGAGAGGGTCCTTCTGCCACCAGGCCCGAAGTCCCTCAGGGTAAGTAGAGAGAGGGCTCGGTGCTGGAATGATTGAAACAGCACTGGTCTTTGACCTATGAAGCAGGAGCAAATCCAGGCTTTTCAATGTCCCTACTGATAAAATGAGGGCATTAGGCCAGATCTCATCTGGTAAAAACAAAGCCACAACCCAGAGGCTTGACCCACCCCCAGATACCACCCATCCCCGTCTCTACCCCGTGCATGGAAATCAGTTCTTCTCCAACCTCAGGACCCAAACTGAGGCCATGCATGTCTCGAGACTCCTTTCCACCAAAGGGACCCCAAAGAGGGTTGTAAGTGTCTGACAGACAGACTGATTCATTAACTGATTGACCAGCTGGCTGCTTGCCTGGCTCACCAGCTGACCAACGGACTACTGGAGAATACAGGGGTTGGAGGAGCCCTGACCCCACCCTCCAGCTGAGTTCAGAGGAGCCCCCTGTACTTCTTCAAGATGCATGTCCGCAAGTTCAGATCTTTCTGGTCCCCCTTTTCCAGGACTCTACTTCCTCACCTGGCTCTGATGTGCCTACAGGATCCAAACATTTGATGCCACAATAGTCGGGGCAACATTTTTGCTTCTTTGGACACTGCCAGTCACTCTCGCATTGAGGGGGTTCATATACAAGACACATTGCAGGACGTCTGAAGGGGCAGTCTCCACGTTTAGCTTTTTCTGAAGGGTAAGAACAAAGGAGGAAGAGGAAAAAGTTGCTGAGTCTTGACCACAATTCTGGACAAGGAACCAGCTTCCCAGGAGAGGAGAGAAACCTAATCCAGGTGGTGAACCCCAAAGGACTGGAGGGAGCAGTTAGAATCCCAGTTTAAGGCAGGTGTGGGGCAATGCCAAATTAAGCCAACCACCCTATAAAGCGGGAGTCAATGGCACAAAAAAGAATGTATAGATGATGATGTGGTGTTAGATGATTTAAGGAGACTTTGAAGAGTTTGCCAATTTCCATGGCACAAATATTCCCACCATGGCTAATTTCAAGCTACCAATGTGCCAGCAACTAGTTAACAAAAGTCTTGAAAATTTCACAATCAGCCACTGCAAGCCAGGATAAGCCAGCTCTGGAAAGCGGTTGAATAAAGCTCATAGTCAGGTGTTCCTGGACCACGGTTGGCTGGGAAAGAGGCAGAGATGGGGAGTGAGAGCAGGAGAGGCAACCCATTAGCGATTAAAAGAAAGAGAACAGGTCAACTGAGAAGTAAACAGGGAAAGAGTGACTATTAAAAAAGAAATACTAAGAAAAAAGAGAACAATTTGGAAAATTGAAACAGATGGTGACCAAAATAATGTGACAGAGAAAAAGGAAAACAAAACAAACCCAGTAAAGAAGGAACTATTAGAGAAAGAACATACAGACAAGGGCTGGAGTAAACAGGTCCATGTGGTGAAAGGCAGATTTGGGGACGTGCAGAATCTCTCTTAGTTGAAGTCCTCCAAGGGTGCTAGAAATTAGGGGCCACAGTCCAGACCATTGGAAAGGTGGCTTCAAGTTCAGCCCCCAGGCTGCAAGGAAAGGCTATTCCCACCCTGAGCCATCACTGACTCTGGCACCTGGATATGGCCTGAGAGACCCCCAACTCACCTTTGCTGGCACCTTCCACAGCCCAGGACATCAGGAATCCAGAGGCAAATATCACCAGGAGGATGGCAAGGCTGTAGGACTTCATAATGAGGGTAGGTTGGGACTGTGGTGATGGGTGCTGGCCTCATCCTTTATACCTCCTCCCATGGGTGTGGTCCCACCTGAAGTACCCTCAGCCCTCCCAGATGCTATTTCATAAGGCAGGAAATTCACGTGAGGACAGCACCCCCCACACCCAGAGTGTTGACAGCCCTTTCCAGCCCTTAGGCAAGAGCCCGAGACCTGGGAAGGGGAACCTAGGACTTGGAGGGGGACGTGTCGCCAGATTGGTCAGGAAGCCATTCTGAAACACCTTAGGGGACCCTGAACCACAGGCCTCGGGGGTGGGGTGGGGGAGGGGCAAAGAGGGCAAAACAGAAAGACTTTACAATGAAGCTTCTTAGAAACCTGGAACAGTCAGAGAGCTGTGTCCTCTCAAAGTGTCCTGACTTTCCCACACCCCTGGACTCTTGGCCACACTGCTGCCAGATTGCTCGGGTCGTTTCTTTCCCTCGGCGTCATGTGACATGTTCTCTCGCTCTCTCCTGACTCATTTTGAGGTAATACGTGCAGCGCCAGTCACACAAAGGATCCTTGGTGAATGACAAGTGAAGAGAGGACAGCAATCAAAACCACTTCGGGCCTCAGCCTTCCCAGCTGTGAAGTGGGAACAATAATAATAACTGACCAGGTCACTGAGGAGGATTTGGGATAAAGAGGGTGGAAGGACATTGAAGAGGGAACACACTTCCCCTTAGCCCTGCAGCTGGAAGTGAAGTTGATGTGAATCGAATCACATTTGAGCCACTTTTCCTGAGATAAACTGAAGGGGCTCTTTCCAGCAGTCATCTGAGCAGTCAGTTAAAAATGAAGTGCCATTTAACACATTCAAAAAAGTCTCCCAAGTTACCCGCACTGCTGTTTCATGATTATACTGAAGGTTCTCATCTATTGAACATTGACTATGTGGTGAGAAGTTTGTACAGGACAGTTCTAAATATCAAAAGAAAGCCTATTAAGAAGAAACAAAGGGGGAAAAAGGCATGAAATACAGAAAATAGAATGTAGGGGAGGAAAAGAAGGGAGTCCTCACTGATAATGGTGAGAGAAGATTCCAGAATGACAGCTGAGTGCCAGGAATACAGACAGAACAAACTAGTGGTTACCAGTGGAGAGAGGGAATTGGCGAGGGGCTACGTCAGGGTAAAGGATTAAGAAGTACAAATTATTTTGTATAATAAATACTTAGAGGTACTTATTATGTATAAAATAAGCTACAAGGATATATTGTACAACATGGGGCAATATATTTTATAATAACTATAAATGGAGTAAAAACCCTCAAAAATTGTGAATCACTGACTGAAAAATTGTGCTGAACACTGGAATTTGACACAACATTGTAAAATGATTATAAATCAATAAAAAATGTTAAAAAATTGTGAATCACTATATTATGCACTTTTAACTTATATAATATTGTACATCAACTATACTTTAACAAAAATTTTAAAAGAAATTTGGGAAACATTAAAAATAAAACCATTGCAAAATTTGCCATTAAAAAAAGAAAAAAATAGAGAGAGCTACCAGCCCAGATTGGAGGGAGTCAGAGGGCTCCAGGAAATTCATTTTTTGGAAGGTGAAATTAATAGAACATCTGGCACACACGTTCACATCTGTTCGCACATGGAGAGGTGATTTTAGCAGCTAGGGAAGAGTTTGTGGTTGAACAGATGAGGTGTACATAGAAAACCAAGCAAATGCAAAACATGACAGATGGGAGTTGGAGGATAAAGACCTCATCTCTCTCTTCCAGGGTGGGGAATCTCTAGGCAGATTCTATACGATCCGCCAGAGGTTCCCAGCAGGATGAGCCCCGGTGGTCTGCAGCAGTAGACTTCTCATCACTGCACCTTTTTTTGGCTTCTTTCCATTCCCTGTCTCACAAATCCATTCTCTGAAAAATGCTTCCTGGATCGCTTCCCCCCAGAATTGTTTGTCCTCAAATGATTGCCTCAGGGTCTGCTTTCAGGAGAACTCAACCAAAGATATTCCAGCATGTAACTCAGTAACAGGCACGTGTGGGCAGCCACTGTCGTCAGAACCAGGACGACATATTTATATAGTTTGGGAACCTGACGCCATAGTCTGTGTTGGGTGAATGTGACAATGAATGATTCATCGCGTGAACCAAGGAGGCCGCTGAGAAGACCTATTGGCCATGCTTCAATCCCTCCCTCCCAATTTGTGGTCGTCACTGGGGACACTCACGTGTGTCCAAATTTGTACACTGTTCCTTTCACAATTTGGAAAAAGTTCTCTGCAAAATTCCAATCATCTCTAAGGGGAGTTGTTGAGGGACACGGTGGGTTGGTGCACGGGAGGTAAAAGAATTTACTGGAGACAAAGAAAAGCTTAAGAAACAAAGGAAAATTTAATAGATACTCTATGGTAGGCAACAGCGGGCCACACAGGCAAGAGGAGCAGTGTGCACACTGGGGTGAACGTGTAGGGTCTGTGATTAGGGAAGGGGTTGTGCACATGGGTGGGGGCTGCGCGATCAGCTTGTTCACAGGTAACTGGTTGGTTACAAGTGAGGTAAGACTTGTCAGGGGCTATTCTAAGTAATAGGTTTTATGGGGGAGGGTATAACTCAAGTGGTAGAGTGCATGCCTAGCATGTGCAAGGTGCTGGGTTCAATTCCCAGTGCCGCCTCTAAAAATAAATAAATAAATAAACCTACCCCTCCCCCACCACCCCAAAAAAGACAACAAACAAAGTAGGATTCATGACTCTGGTAAGAGCAGGGTGTGTAGTGAGGCCTGTCCGCCTTGGGTATTGTGAGGTTAGCCATTTCTTGGGACCGTTAGTTCTGCTAGGGCAAGAACATGTCAAGGAAAAGTGCTCTTCCATCTTCTTGTGAGAGAATGCAGGCACACAGGGGTCCAGGAGTCTGGGGTTAAGGATGCCAGTCAGCTCCAGGCACATAGAGAGTCCAGGAATGGGGTTTGGGGTGTTATGGACTGGACTTCCAAGAACATTAGCCAGCTCCACAGCCAAGGAAGACCCCTTCACCCGGAGGCTGGCTGCTTGAGATAGTGACCTTGTGCCTACAAGCTGGTGGTGGGCGACAGGGCAGAAACCTGCTGAATCAGGCCAGAAGCTAGAGACTGGGAAATATGGTGACACCAAGGGAGGAACACACCAACCACACCCTGCTGTCTCTACCAGTGACAATGAATGACAACTGTGGCTGTCAGATCTCCTCCCATCAGAAATGAGCTTCACAGCTGAATTCCTTCCTGTGGTGGGGCTTTTCCCTCCCCAGCACTTTCCAGATGGATTTTTTGAAGTTTATGTAAGGTTGGAACGCCCTCTCAAACATTCCCACAATTTTATTGAGTCTGTGGAAATAAAGTTGTACAGTGTTATGCCGCTGAGACTCCACAATTATTTCTTAATGCAGCACTGAATACATGAATATTAATCCTAGCATGATTCTCTCTGTGTGTGGATGTGTATTTGGCCTCATAAATAATCATGTATGCAATCAAAATAGGACATCTGTTTTCATACACTAGATTGACAAGGGTTTTAAAGTCTGACAATATATCATTGAATAAGTTATGGGGAAACAGAGACTCATATACTGCTGACAGGAGGGGAAACTGGTCCATCCCTTTGGCAGAGTTACTTGTTTTTTTCTACCAGAACCACCTAGCTTTGCCAAAAGGGGAAACTTAAAAGCAAATTGAATTCTGAGTATTGTCAGGGAAGAAGAAAATTTCTTCTACCCTTCTAGGTTCTTCTGGCTGGTCTATGAATTAAATTGACATGAGACAGATGAACAGGAGAAACTCAAACAAAAATTTAATAACATATATCTGCAGGAGAGACTCAGGACCATCCGAGCAACTCACCAAAATCACTGAGGACTTCACCTTAAATATCGACAAGGAGGATGTTGGCGACAGTGGTTTGGGACCTCAAAGAGGAGGAAGACAGTTCATGTGGAGATGGAAAAGCGAATGTTCAGTAAACAAGTTTGGGGGGGTGCGTACAGGAACATTGGGACACAGAGAGGAATTTTAACAGACTTTGCTGGGTTCCTCCTTGTGTACACACCCAGTTCCTTCTCCAGTTCACCTCTGGAACAGGTCCTCTCTCTACATTTCTTCCAGGCAGATAGGGGGAAGGTCAAAGATTCTTCCTGAATCTTTTGGGTCTTAAAAACAATCAGCTGAAATTAATCTTCATGCCAAAGAGATGTAATTTAAGGTGGCAAATTTTGCTCACCTATGATATATATAGCTTAGGGGAAAAACATGTCTGCAGGTAAGAGGATTCATCTGGAGGAGGGAGAGTCTATGTTTCCCACCCACTCCCAGCCACCCAGACTCCATGAATCACAGATGCTGGGTATACAGAGAGAAGCAGGTGTTTTATTCACTCTCTGATCAAAACACATTTTCTGGGCCCAGCCTTTTCTGGGTGCCAGGGATACACAAGACCAGGCACAAAGGAAGTATTCGTGGTAGAACCAAGGCTTCAGTTTGGAATGTCTGATATTTGACCTACTCAAAGCTACTCTCTCTTCCAGCGCTGGTACCAAAGATGTCTGAGATGGGAGCACTGCCCCAGGTGCCTGCCTTGAACACTGTTGTTGCATGCCCAGGTTCCTTCAATACCTTTGATTGTCTCTGGATGGCTATGACCCAGATTAGTGTTTTGCGACTAAGGGCTCACTTGTAGACTTTCTTCAGGGGCGTGTCTCTGAGCTATTGTAGCCCCCTTGTCCAGACAGACAACCAGAAGTACCCAGAAGTTTATGTCCTCTCCTGTCAGCTCTTAGGTAATGTCTTGTTGCAGCAAAGTGTGTTACAGCTCAGTGTTACAGCTCAGTTGTGACAGCAACCTGGATCCTGACAAGAGACAAAGCAGCACTCGGAGGGTTGGAGAACTCAGGTTTATTACGCTGGCAAGTCCATAGGAGTTAACACTCCAAGCTCTGGACCCTGTCTGTAGGTTTACACAGGCTTCTATAGGCTGCCAGTCTAGACTTTGCAACATCATGTGCAAATAAGGTGGAACAAAGTGGACCAATCAGGAATGA